AGTATAAATTCAACTTGGTGACTTCCGCTGACAGATCTACGTCAACCACCTTGCACTCTTATTCTGAAGGAAATCAGCCGGAAGTTGTCTCGCTTCCTCCGGAAGTTAGCTTGTACGTCGCGGCTGTGTTCGTGCTAGGAAGCTAACTCCTTTCCTTTCTCTCCGATGGCGAACAGAACCGTGAAGGATGCGAACAGCATCCACGGGACGAACCCCCAGTATCTGGTGGAGAAGATCATCCGAACCCGAATCTACGAGTCCAAATACTGGAAGGAGGAATGTTTCGGTCTCACGGGTCAGTAGCATGTTAGCCAGAGAGCTAACATTAGCTCACGTTGATAACCAGAGGTTTCACTCTGAACTCAGTCACTTTACTTTAGCGAACAACTGATGAACCGTCACCAGAATAAAGAGCGATGTTCACTGATACTGGAATCAAACACGTGGAGCCTGAGCTCACCGTGACTCAGGGCTCCTCAGTGAGTCACTGTTTCAGCTTCTTCAGATATTTGATGTGTTCAAGAGAAGAAGGACAAAGTGAGATGTTACAGCTGCTGCGTGTTGGATCACCACTTCAAGTGAACAAATATTCCCTCTAACATTTGATGAAACTAGAAGAAGCAGCGAACGAGGTTTTATTTTCTACTTCAATAACCCATCGATGACCTTGGTAGATTTTAAAACAAATAAAAATATGTTCAGAATGTCATTTCATTTCATTCCTTCATTGTCCTCAACACACATTCCTGCAGAAACTCTTGTTTGGTGCATGTAGATGTGTTTTATTCTTTGTTTTACCAGATAAAGACCGAGAGAAGTTACAAAACTTAAAGCTCCACTGAACCCCAGCGTCCACTTATGTTTTTATCCTGGGACAGTTTTTCCACTTTAATATAAAACTGAAATAAACTCTTTTCTTCACAGCAGCTTTGTATGTCTTCCTCGTTCCTGTGTTAACGTGACAGACTGTTAGTGTAACGTGTGCATGTCGTCATATCCGCAGCCGAGCTGGTTGTTGACAAAGCCATGGAGCTGAAGTTCGTAGGAGGAGTTTATGGCGGAAACATCAAGCCCACCCCCTTCCTTTGCCTCGCGCTGAAGATGCTGCAGATTCAGCCAGAGAAAGACATCATCGTCGAGTTCATTAAAAATGAGGATTTCAAGTGAGTTCCTTCACGTGTGCAGAGCCGAACACTGCTGCGGCACTGAATTTGTTAGTCAGACACACAAAAGCTGGACGAATGTAACTTCAGTATGAATACATCGACTCCTGTGGTCGACTTGGAGGAAACGTATTTCAGCAGATGGCTTGATGTCACAAATAAAAGTTGGATGAATTTAGTCGTGCTTGTTGCCACACAAGCTCAGGTGCTTTCCCCAGTTTTTACTTTGGTGCTTCAATTTGCATTTACGATTCTAATTGACTCACAAACGAGCTGCTGTTTGTCACAACAACACATTTAAATACAAATAACCAGTGGTTTTCACGATTCTCTGAGACTTTTATCATATATTCTATTAATCATCCTAAATGAAGTCGGCCTCTTCTGTGTCCTGGATCGTTCTCCTCATGCTGTCCCCTGGTTTTACTAGATATGTCCGTCTGCTTGGAGCGATGTACATGAGGTTGACGGGCACCGCAGCGGATTGTTACAAATACCTGGAGCCTCTGTACAATGACTACAGAAAGATCAAGAGTCAGAACCGAAACGGAGGTGAGTCGTGAACATGAACAGCTGTGAGTCGAGTGACTTCTCCTCTGGCCACATGAACCACAACAAAGTTAGTCAGACACTTTATTGCGTCTCTGATTTTGTTGTAGGTGTAAGATGAAATAATTGCAGCATCGTTTCATGGTCTTTCTTTCAGAGTTCGAGTTGATGCACGTTGACGAGTTTATCGACGAGCTTCTTCACGCAGAGAGAATGTGTGACATCATTTTGCCCCGGCTTCAGGTATGTCTACATCATGTTCATACGCTCAGCTTGTTTCATAGGCCCACACCACTAATGTGTGTGTGTGTGTGTGTGTGACAGAGGAGACAAGTCCTCGAGGAGGCCGAGATGTTGGACCCACGCATCAGCGCCCTGGAGGAAGATCTGGATGAAGTGGAGACCAGTGATGAAGAAGAAGAGGAAGAAGAGAAGGTGATAAGAGTTTATTAAAGCAACACGATGTATCTTTGAC